GAGGTGGAACCTGGAGCAGCCCGGGGTCTCGAGCCCAAGAGCCAGGAGAGCCTGGTGGCACGGCTGGTCCTAGGCGCTGTCCTGTACTGGGTTGCGCTCAGGCCGGCCAGAGGTCTCAGGATGGAGGACACATCTGGGAAGGAACAGGTTGGACCAAGGTCACAGCTGTGTGGGGTAGAGCTGGAATTTGCACCCAGGACACCACCTGGAATAGAAACGGGAGATCAATGGAGAGATGGAATTTGAGGGGTGCACTCAGGGGGTGACAGGGAGCTGGAGCTGAAGGAGTGCACGCCTGGGAGGCTCAAAGGCCTGGGTTCAGATCCCGCCTCTGCCACTGCCCACGGTGTGGCCTTGACTGCCCTCTGTTTCCTCCTGGGATGGTTAGCTGTGAGGGCTCTGTGGGAATGGTCTGTAGAGCTGCCGTCCCGGGTCCAGGGGCTGCCGTCGCTTGAGCAACTGGTGAATGACCATTAGCTGCTCCATGCCCTGCAGGCCACAGAGTGGACATCCTCCTGGCCAGCCGAGTACAGGACCTGCTCTGCATGACCTCCTACCCCAGACCAGCCGAGAACTCCCATCTGCCCTGGCCGCCTGCTGCTCATCTGTGTTCTTCCCAGCACCCCCCACTCTTCAAGAACCTCACCCAGAAGCCTGAGCAGGGGCAGGGAGTGAGGCTGTGAGACCACAAGACCATCATGGGGACAGATGCTGCTACCCTGCACGTGCCATCCCTCCCAGACGTTACTGAAAATCCTCCTGGGGCAGGGGGAGTGCAGGGAGCAGGCATGAGACTCCATATTTGGTGGGGGGCATTGTGTGTGGGGGGGAGGGGGAGCCTAGGAAATAGTTTTTCAAACCTGAACTTCTACAGCTCAGTGACTAAAAGACAAGGAAGCCAATGCAAACAGCAGCTAAGGTCTTTAATAGACATTTGCCCCGAGAATAAGAAATAATGATCAATGGGCACACGAAAGAGCGGCCAGCATCATTAGTCACTGGGGAAATGCAAACCCAAGCCACCATGGGTACCGCTCACATCCACCAGGATCCTGCTGAGAAATTAGTACCCTCTGGTACTGCTGGTGGGGATGGGAAATGGTGTAGCAACCCCCAACCCCAACCCCCGCCCCGCAGTGTGGTGCTTCCTGGAAAAGCTAAATATTTTATTACCACGCCCACTTGGTGTTTTCACTCCCAAGTACCTACCCCCAGACAACTGCTGGCAGAGCCTCAAACAAACACTCGTATGGGAATGCTCCTGGCACCATTTCCCACGCTTAGCTCAAAGGCCGAAAGGCCCCAAGGCCCCTCAGCAGATGAAGGGGAGAGAAAAGGCAGTATGGACAGACACTGGACGGTTCTGATACGTTTACAATGTGGATGGGCTCTGACACACCAGGCTGAGTGGGAAGCCGGTCACGGAAGACCACGCGCTGTGAGATCCCATTGGTGGGGAATGCCCGGAATGGGCAAGCCCATCGAAAGTAGGTCATGGCTGGTGGGCGGGGGCTGGAGGGGGGCACCTGCAACGGGCGCAGCCCTTTTGGGGTGATACGAATGTCTTGTAATGGGTGGAGGAAGTTACTCCATTTGGAGAAGGCGCTCAAAACCACTACAGTTGGGTTGGACATGGTGAATTTTCTGTTATGCGAATTCCATCTCATGAAAAATAAAACCAGCACAAAAAACTGGACTCAGAGTCTCTGGCTTTAGTGTTGGAACCCCTTTGCCACACCTTACACTCCCCCCCACACACTCCTACACCCAAGGAACACTGTCGCTCCCTCTGCTTCCCAGCCCTCCCGCGGGACA